AATAAAAATTGTTTCATATATTATGTATGAATAGGAATATTTGAAGAGAAATTCTATATGTAAAGAATATTATACGTTTTAAATTTCTGTACATTTGATTTTCACAATACAATAAAATTACAATATATCTGGAATTACAATATATCTCGAAAATTTAAACATTTTTTTTATTTTTTTTTATTTGGGAATTTTATTAAAGCCTCAACGAAAGCCAGGTTTAACTAAAAAATAAAACATTTCGCTGCCATTGTCTTTATTTTATAAGGGGAACCCCAGTATTTGTATAACTGAATATGTATGTATATTAAAGCAAGAAATTATGTTATTGCTCGATATTTCTAATAAATATTTTGTGGTTCAGTAACTTTAAGTTGTTTATGACTTATATAACAATTTACAAAGATTTTTTTCCTTTACCTTGTCCTCTATATTTCTCTTTAATATATTTTCATACATCCAAATCTTAACAAAATATAGTGGCCATTCTTGTTATTTCGTGAAATAATAATTCGAATAAGAATTTCAGTTCTAAAATATATTATCAATGAAGAAAAAGATTGGTGCAAAGAAAAATTACATCTATATTCGTAAAAGAACTGAACAATGACGAAAAAGGTTTTGAAAATGGTTTTGCTTGAACTGTTTCGTTCCCTTTTCTACTCGCAGATAGAAAGCTCGATTGGGCGACCCAAAAAATAGATCGAGAGGATAAAAAATAGTAAAGAAAGAATGGTATGTGCAGTGAGCAGAAACACGTCACCCAAAAAGCAAAAGTTTAAAATGTTCAAGCAAAAAGTGGTAGAATGTGTCTCTACAACTTTATGTCACGCTCTTGTGTCCAAGATAAAAGTTTCACACTTCCTAAAAACTGCACTTTCTGCTGTTCATTGTCTTTTCAAACGTCTTCTGGAAACATTTTCTTTTTCTGGATAGTTTCAACCTTCACTTTTTTTTAAAAAAAAAAGGATTGGGTGTGTTCCGCCGGTGTACCTTGAAACTCTATTGCGTTCTGTTTACGGTTAAATTTTCTTTTAGGAAAAAAAATGTGTAAGAGAGATGGAACCATACAATAAAAGAATATAACTTTTATCATGATGCACTTTTCAGTATAAGTATATTGGTAAATCAATACGAGGTTGTTTTTTGCCAATATATCGAGGCTATACATAATTACTGCTGTTATTGTTTTAATATCGAAATTTTCATTAAAACTTTATGTTAATTTTTACATGAGCAAAACACAATTTTTTTCCCAAAATTCTTTCTTTCTTTTTTTTTTTTTTTTTCGGTTTCATTTTTCTTTACCTATTCACATTTATCTATCTTATATTTAACTTTAAATTCTCAATTGTAAATTTTTCAATGTTTTGAAAAGAATATTGCATTCATTATTAATTTCTTATTTATTACAGAGAAATATTAGTTATTTACTGTGAAATATATTTATGTGAAATCTTTAGTCTAGAAAAATTATTTTATGATATCGAATTCTTTTTTCCTACTTATTTCTTTCTGGAACACTTTTTTACTTCCAAAATCATTCATCAAAATATTATCAAACTGTTTCGATAAATGCCTCAAGTCATATAACTGATTTTGTATCAGTGGTGTCAACAACATTAGTAGGACCTGCATTTACCAATAATAGCTTCCAATGATCGATATATGCTTAATTTATTTTAATTTCCCTGGTATAATTTACTAGTACCAATTTTCTTTTCTTTCTCTCTTTTTCAAGCATTATATATTAAACATATTCCTTATGGAGTAAAATGTAAAAAGGAAATTTTAAATATTTATTTTATATACATTTACTTATTTTTTTAAAAAATATTAACACTATAAATTTAAAATACACTATTTTCTCTAACAGAATCGTAATATGTTAATTATTATGTTGTTTATCTTTTTTAGCAAAATCAAATATTTTCTTTCTGCGAGACAAAAAATATGACAAGCATGTTAGCTAAATATACGTAAACAATTCACTAGTATATAGATGTCGAATAAAAATATCAATACTTAATCATTTTTTTTTTTATTGAAAAGTTTTCAGATAATAAGTTATTATGGTAAGCAATACGTTTTGCATCACAATCAATAAGCCTCCAATAAAGAAAAGATGAAAGAAAGACACGTTACACCCCTTTTTTCCTCCTTCCCTCTCTGCTTTTTGTTTCTTGCTAGCAACTATTATACCACGTGTGATAGTCGGCAGCAAGCTCTTAATTGATGTCTCAAACTTTTTCAATCTAAACGTCACCAAATCTCTTAATCACCGGGCCGATAAACATCAAACTTCTTTAATCACTTTCTTCGAACGACACACCTCAACAGATCTCGTTAATTTGAAGCGTTGATTAACCGCCTACTCAACAAATTGCAACGGTCAAAGCGACGGGATGTAATTAAATACTTTAACAATAAAAATTCATAGATTTTCTTCATCAATTAAACTGTTGTTTAAGTTATTACATAAATCAAATTATTCATACATCGATAAATAAAAGTTTCAAAGCATGCAATGCTCTTAACCTAAAATATCCAAAAAGAAAAAAAAAATAATAAATAAATACGAATGTTTCATTTTTTGTTATTAAATGCTTAAATATTGAGAGAAAAACATGTTTGACGTTCAAAACAAAGAAATAGGTAATATGCCTTGCTTTTGTTCAAGGTTGAAACCAAAATAGTATTAATATGAACTTTTTAATTGAGTTTTATTATAAATGTTCTCTTTATGAGGAAGATAGGGGAGACGTTCTATCTTAGATGTCGTTCTCGTCTCTTGACCGTAGCTCAAAATTATGAGGTCCATTGCCAATAGCCCTTCGTCACTTGACCATAGTCCAAAATTACGTGGTCCGTCGTCAAAAGCCCCTGTGTAGCTGAAAAGTGCAACGTTAATATTCACTCACTCGCCAATAGCCCTTGTTCCCTTCGGTGTGAGACGCAAATTAAAATTGAATTAAATCAAATGTTAATTTTTCTTTAAAAACGTAAGGAGTGAAGCCTACTTTGTCTTCTCAAAAATGGGCTTAAAATACTTATAAATTGTAATACTTGTATTAAACTAAAAGTTTCCAATTAAACATTTCACATTTTTTCACGTTTTTGATGTAGGAACAGAAATAATTTCTTTGAATTTAAATATTGCGTGTGTTAATATTATGAATTTTATTACATATTATAAACTTGTGTCTATAAAAATATTTTTCATTATGCATTTTATCAAAAAATATATATTATTGAACACAATAAATAATATGATAAATATATAAGTAAATATTATTCTTATACTGATTAATATGAGGCATGTTTGTTAAGAACGTTAATATTTTATGAAGACTTCATATTAAAATTTTTAAAAAATATATGTTCTTCAGTTTTAAAGAACAGATTGCTGTCTCATTATTTGGACTAAACTTAAAAGAAGCTGGAGACAAATACATTTATAAAAAAAAAGAAAATAAAATAAAAGTTAAATTAAATATTTCACTTATATGTTCAGATATAAAAATGTGGAAAAGACTATTTAAATCAAAAAAATTAAGACTTTACTTTTTGTATGATATAACTTATGATCCATTTTTAACTTTCTTGAATTTTTTTTAATTTGAACTTTCTTCCAAATGTGCATTGTTTCCATCCTAGTTTCTTTCCTTAATATAGTTGGGATTAAATTTTTAAATATTTTCTAGAATAAATCCTGTATGCATTTTCAGTGAACTTTAAATTACATATAATGCTCAAACATGTTTTAAATACATCTTTCTTACCTTCTTATTTATCAAACTTCTTGATAAGCACATGTTAAACTCTCAATATAATATAAAAATCATATTCACTTAATTACGGATTACTCCACCCTCGTGTATAATTCTATATATACATATCTTGATATTCTGCATTTGCTCTAAAGAATAATTATTATTTTATTATTTTTTTATTGCCGCTAGTAGAAATATTAAAAAAAAAAACATTGATGGCAGACAAATATTGCGCCATTTTTTTCAAAAAGAAAACAAAGTAGAACTTATCTCTATAATAAAATGCGTATAAAGCTTTCTCCTTTTATACATATTTGAGAAATTTCTAATTTATGAAATACTTAAATTTCTGAAAAATTATTTTTCGATAACAGGCTATGCAGACTGAATCATAAAGTAATATGCATTGTTTCATAGTCAACTTCTTTTTATTTTCTAATATAAACGTATAGATGTGTCAATAAAATTTTTAATAAATACATATTCTGTTTCCCCAACTTGTATAAACTCCTTTGATTATTTTTATTTTTCAATTCCATTATCTATTTCATAGAGATAAGTTCTTTCTTTGAAAAATATTATTAATTATTATTATTTATTAATACATGTTCATTTATTTATTCTTAATTTTCAAAATATTTATGCGATGAAATTTTAAGGGAATATAGATTTTATTTTTAAATCTTTCTGTCTTTATATTTCCATATTTTTAATTTCGTAATAAGCAAGCACAATAAATCAAATTGTTTTTCAAAGTAACATTAATTTGTCAAACGAAGTAAAAAAGTAAAATTATAATAAACTGTTTGGCATTGGCATAAAATCACTAATTGTGTTTGATATGACTGAATAATAGGGGGAAAAAAATGTACAATTAATTTTAAGCTTAGTAGAAATTCTAAAAAAATTAAAAGAAAAATTCATCCGATCATAAAGCCCATGCAAGACAAAAATGATGCTACTTTTAAGTTGTTATTTATTTATTTCCTACTATTAGTTCACACTCTCCCTATATATATGTTTTGTTCACAAATTTTCAATCGTTAATAAAATACTTTCTATTCATCCATTCAAGCCCAAATACATTTTTTAAAACTTGTAGTGGATGACACTTGAAGTTAATACAGTTTTAGAGTTTTCTCAAATATTAATTCATCAATTAATGGGTAATTAGTAACAAACAAATATAATAGTCCAACAACATATATAAAAAAGATAAGCACGCGTTGTGTCCCTATAGTGCAATGGGAAGCACGTTGGACTTCTAATTCAAAGGTTGTGGGTTCGAATCCCATCCATTTTTTGAGGATGTGATTCTTTTTACTATAATTTTTTATTAGATTAATTAAATATAATTAATCACAATAAGTAGTTACAAAGAAAAATAATAGTCCAACACCATATATAGAAAGGAAAATGGAAAGTCGAATTTTTTTCACCACTCATAATATTGTGATACTGTCATATGTATACACATATTAGTTATAATTACTTAATAAAAAGAAACTAAAAGAACATTTTTCTTTGTTCACCTAAGTAGGAATTGACTTTAATTTTTTTTTTATATTACTTGTTTAAATTTAACTTTAAATCACCAGTTCTTAAAAATATTAAAATACGTATTGGCTTTTTTAAGTAAATTTTAAAAATACAGGTTTTTTATATATTGTTTACCAGATAGAAAAAAAAATTAAACTTCTAACTTAATCATGAATCGAAAAGCTGAGTGAAAAATGGTTACGGAATTCATCTTAAGTTTTTTTTCCCCGTGGAAAAAATAGTGCTATTTACCCTCAATAAATCATTACACCAGTAATGGAATTTTGTATGGGGTTCATAAAAACAATTCTGAATTGAAGAATACTTAAAAAAAATTATCCATCGGTCTCTAGGGTTTGTTCTTCCTACAGATAATGTTATTCAATAGCATATCAACTTTTCTCACCTTTTAATGTTATCGGGAGAAAGTTGGTGATAAACAAGGTGGGAGGACAGGTTCCTTGGGTTAGGCAAATTGAATTTATTACCTCTTAATGGAAATCAAAGAAAGGGCAGGGCCCCCACCTATCGATCTTGATACGTCGCTGGGTTAACAAGATTCTACTTCCGAAGAGGAAGAGTTTAGGCTAATCGCCAATTTCCGTGACGATGCAAGGAACTTAAGTGGAAGACCATGAAGTAAAAAGATTTCTAGAAGCCCGGAAATTGGAAGCATGCGTGATCCTCCCTGGCAGAAGACTTGGTGAGGAGCACACAAGACCCATGCTGAGTGTGCGATGAATTTTCAAGAAAGTATTTGAAAATTACAACGTTCCCAGTCTCCGCACCGACCGCACTCGTTTTAAGGAAATTACCATCGGATCATTCAAAAGGGAGACATACACGGAATAGTGTGGTACTTCACAAGAGAATCGTTTTCTCAAAAATCTTTAAGGTGAATTAAGAGAATAAAAAAGGAGAAGATTTTGAGTCAATTATCGAGAGGAAATAGAGGTAGTAATTTAACTGCAGCTGTTCGTTTGATTCAGTAATTTATTCTTTGAATGCCCATTCCAAGAACCTTTGGTGTCAAGATCGTAAAGGGAGCTTGAAATATGTAACGTAAAAGAAAGATGGAAATGCACGTGATTTGGTGAACCTTGAAATGTGGATGTTAATTTATAAGTTTAATCTTTTTTTTCAAAAAATCTTTATCATTTATTCTTATTCAAATTCTATTTTTGACTTCAACTTAAGCATAGTTATGAAATGTAATTACTTTCGATTTAGTTCATAAATACTCATACATAAAAATTTCAGTTAAAAGGCCGGAGCATTTGATATCAAACAAACTCATCTCAATGTATTAATGAAATATGTCGGTTGACCGACTGGTTGTTCATCAGCGTTGCCCTTAGCAGTTACACAAAGGTGTTAGCCACAGGATCTCATAATTTTGAATCTTTATCAAATGACAGGGCTAACTCCTGAAATATCTCGAACACTGAATGTTAAATTTTGGAAAAATTATCAATTGGGACTATAATTTTCTATTTTAAAAAACGAGAATAAATTTTAAGATACGAAAATAGTCAGATCTTATTGGATTTTGTATAAGAAGAATTAAAAATATTTAAATTTTTTAATTTTTTTACTGATTAATGTGATTGTTTATTTACGTTGCACTTTGAAAGTACATGAGTGCTGTAATTTTTTAAGCACGAGAATTAAAGCACTTTTTCTGGCTTACCTAATGCTGCAACAATTAACTAAAATCTTTTTTTACTTATTTTTGTTGAAAGATGAATTGTTTTACAATGACGATTATTTTTTCTGAAAGAAATTTTGTGAAAATACAAATAGTGTTACTAATATTCTACGAACAGTACACTTATAATTATATGACGAGTACTATTGTTGTACGAGAATGTATCTTTTGTTCCAAATACAATATTTAAACAGGGTCATGGTGCTTCCTTTCACAGTTCTTAAGATTCGTTGGAATGCCATAGCCTGTGTTTCTTAACTATTATAATATTAAGGGATTGTTTTAAATATTTCTTTGCATAGACATTCCACTTCAAAAACAAACTATAATTGCACCTCTCTTTCTCTCTCTCTATTTTTAAAAGTAAAGATTTTCCTTCCGGCGACATATGATGTTTTGGAACATTTCAAACAATAAGTTTCTTAACATCCTATGTATACAAGTTTCACAATAGATAGAAATTGTGTATCCAAGAAAACTCATTGACAATGCCTCTAAGTAGTCAAAATGTTTACTACGCAACCCAAGTCTCCGAAAGAATATAACAAACAACAAGAAAGTGATATGCATTCGGCCTTTGTGTATTGAGATGTCAGCTGTCTCTGACACTGTGTCACTTCTTGCATCGATGCACGCAAGAAATCCAGTTCTTATTTTTTGACGGTCGTCTGTGTTGTATTTTCTTTTCCTTTTTTTTCTATTGGGCTTTTGTTGCTTTTCTTCATACAAGGAATCTTTCTAGTTTGAGCAATAAAATTAAGGCTTTACTGGAAATTATGTGGCATCGTGTTGTAAAAGAGAGAGAACACTTCAATTTTATGAACTTAAAAGAAGGCATTTTGCTTAGATTAAGGCATTACTATGCTACAGCTTAAATAATTCAATTTTTATAATGATAGTTTCACTGCTTGGGGTTTAGAGTTAAAAATATGTCGTTCTAGTGCTGAGAAAACTTATAAAATATATTTTGACCTTAGGAACAAAATTAAATTTACGAAGATGCTGAAATTAAATGCTATAATATAAACTCGTAATAATTTTTTGAAAAACAAGCATTGATTTTTATGTTTTTATTATTTAATGTTAATTTCAATTAAAAAATGATAAACTCTGTTAATAAAAATTCTTCTCTGAGCATTTTTTAAAAAAAAAATTTCATATTTGTCAGGCAAATATCAATTTATTTAAATAAATATTTATTTAATTTACATGATGATTTTTCCCTCTAAGTAATAGTTTTTCAAACAATATTTCAGTGCTGTCACAGCAAATAATACCAAATTTATTTCGTTTCGTTAAAATATTGTTGAATGTTATAAAATTGCATAAAACAAATGGTACTCATAAAACATTCCCTGAAATTCTGGAAAGGGAGTTTTGTCGTATAAGCTAATCCGTCCTTTCAACCCAGCATTAAAAATTAAATTTCTACATTGAGGTTACTTGAGGAATTTATACACCACTATTGATTTTGTATGGCCAAACATTGTTTTTATCTGTATGTTTCTTTAAATCTAAATGCTACTTCGAAGAGAAGAAAACCATGAAACAAGATAAAACCTGGATAAGCTTAGATGACGAATACGGAGCCTTTTTCTTATCTAAAGGGAGAATTCTTGTTTTGTATGCCGCTTTTGTTTTCTATCTTCAACGATTCGAGATTTCAATTCACGTGACTAGAAGCTTTTCAAAATGTTGTCTAGACTTGATTTTGTGTTTGCCTTTCTTCAGGAATACTACAGTTTGTTCATTTGATTTTAGTGCAATGATTCTACCTTTCATCTCTCGAAAAAACTATTTACTTTTGCTATATGTGATTACATTCTAAGATAAATGTAAATAAAATGAAGTCTTTGCTTTCTTGACAGAGACTGCCCTACCACAAATTTTAAGACCTTTTATTTAATAACATTTGTGTATGTAATATTTATCATACTTAAATATATATAGTATATTTTTAATTTCTGTACTGCATATTCTTGAATACTATGAAATTAAAGATTTTTTCTTTTGTTTTCTATTAAAAAATTAAGTTTTATAAGTGTGAATATTATTGAAATATTCTTATTTTAGTGAAAAAAATACGAAGTATACTCTTATTAATAGTTAAAAAAAATAATAAATAAACTTCGAAGAAATTGTACAAATTTTACTTATACTTTTGGCATCAAATTTCTTATAAAAAAACCTTTTATATTGTTATAAATGCAGCACAGTTGTAATTTATTTTCCTGGTCTTTAGGAAAGTTAACTTAATATTTTCGGATATTCATATTTGTTCTAAAATAACATAACACTCTAATGAAAGAGATTTCCAATATGTGTGGTACTTGATTACACATTCCTTTTAAACAACGGAAAACTTCGCGTATACAAGAGAAATTATTTTATTCCAATGATATTTTATTGAAATATTACTTTTCAACGGAATGGAAATTTTTTTTATCTAAAATGACTCGATTAGTTCAAATAAAATAGATTTATTTTATGCCTTGAATATATGAGTTTTCAGTTTTATTTATTTAGAATTCTTTTATTTTAGTGTGTATTAAATATAAACGTTGACAATCATTTAAATTTCGTTTCTTTTAAAAGGAATTCACAAAATGTTAATATTTTTATTACAAGGGCCATAGATATATTTATAATAAAATTTATAAGCAATATATATGTATAAATATATATATATCGCATAATTTTAAAATTTTAAAGTAATTTATGATTTGAAACATCATGGGGTTAACATTCATAAATCTCACATTTACAGTTACTTAATTTACCTGAAATACAACCTTCTGAACAATTGTCGAAGAAAATAAATGTGCCATTGAATCTTTCTTAAATTTGCAGTCTTTCTTTTCCATTCGTAAATCCATTTTTGTAATTATAAAAATATATTAGAAAATGTTTATAGGTGTGTAAATGAGATTTAACATTGATAAATCTAAGTATATATGCATTTGAATATTGTGCTTTAATAAGATTTTATTACATATTATAAAGATAAAAACATATTAATTTTAATATTACATGGTATATAAATATTTTTGTTCCTAATATATAT